CCATTGTCACTCACTACAGTGTGTGGGATGCCATGTCTAGCAAATATAGATTTTACATGAGTTATGACGCATGCTGCTGATGCGTTTGTCAGCAACGCCATCTCCGGGTAATTGGAGTAGTAATCGATTACCACTAGATAGTCTTTACCTTTGAAATGAAACAGGTCCATTCCCACTTTGTGCCAGGGTGATGTGGGAAGCTCCATTACCACCATTGGCTCTTTGCTTTGTCTGCTTCTGTGCTTCTGGCATGTCTCACATTTGCTTATTAGTGTCTCAATGTCTTTGTTGAGCCCAGGCCAGTAGACTGACTCCCTTGCTCTCCTTTTGCACTTCTCGATCCCGAGATGTCCCTCATGGATCCTGTTTAGTATGTCCTGCCTTAGCGCTTGTGGAATCACTATCCTTCCCTTCTTGAGCAGAAGTCCATCCACACAGCAGAGGTCACCTGCATTATTTGTCAGCAAAAAACAGGTGCTTTCCTGGTGTATAAACCAGTTCAAAGTTGTATCTTTGCATTTTCATCATCAGGCGCTGAATTCATGGGGACATTTCATTCAAATTCTTTCAAATGATAGAAACAAGTGGTCGATGATCAGTCTCTACAGTGAAAGATGACAGTCCATATATGTAGCTGTGAAATCGCTCTAAACCATAGGCCACACCCAAGCACTCCTTTTCAATTTGGGTTAAAAAACAGGTGCTTTCCTGGTGTATAAACCAGTTCAAAGTTGTATCTTTGCATTTTCATCATCAGGCGCTGAATTCATGGGGACATTTCATTCAAATTCTTTCAAATGATAGAGACAAGTGGTCGATGATCAGTCTCTACAGTGAAAGATGACAGTCCATATATGTAGCTGTGAAATCGCTCTAAACCATAGGCCACGCCCAAGCACTCCTTTTCAATTTGGGCGTATTTACATTCAGATCTTGTCATGGCCCTTGATGCATAGGCTACCGGTTTCCAGTGGTCCGCCTCAGCCTGCAAGAGTACTGCCCCGATGCCATCTTTTGATGCGTCAGTTGACACTTTGATCCTTTTGTTATGGTCGTAGAACGCTAAGACGGGAGCAGTGGTGAGTGTCTGTTTTAGCTCTTTCCACTCTTTTTCATGCTTTTCCGTCCAGCTGAAATCACAGTCCTTGTGTAGGCGTTCACGTATGCAGGATGTCTTTGACGTCAGGTTGGGAATGAATTTCCCTATGAAGTTGACCATCCCCATAAAGCGTAGTACACCTGTCTTATCTGTTGGTCTAGGCATGTGTACTATAGCCTTTATTTTTTCCTGGTCAGGTTCAATGCCCTGATCCGTTAGTTTGTCTCCCAAAAAGAGGATTTCCCTGACCCCAAACTCACACTTGCTTTTATTGAGTCTTAGTCCATACTTTTGAATGCGCTCCATCACTCTGTAGAGTCTTTGGTTATGTTCCTGTAATGTTGAGCCCCA